ATATTATATTATATTTATATTATATCACATATATATATTATCTTCACCATCATACCTATTGTTATATTAAAGGCATAGGAAGTCTTACAAAAAGGAAACCTCAATAAACTTTATTCACAGATTTCTCTAAATTTTTTGTCACAGATTTTTTTCTAAGTTTATTTGGCCAGTGGATGCCATAGACCCAAGAGCTGAAAGGGACAGAAGCCTCAGGTTCATGTACAGATAAGACAAGCAGAGACTCAGAAGAATCCACCTAAGAATTAGATAAAATATGAGAATGGATATTTCAGAGGACATGAACAAGGGAAAGGGTCTCAGGATTGGAAATTTTGGTGAAGCTTCTTAATTGTTAGAATAAAAATCATGCAGAGGATTGGAGAAGAAATGATGCCCCATCTTGGTTAATCCATAAAACATAAATCAAGAAACAATAAAGGTGTTAAGTAGTTGGCTCTGGATAGAGGGAAGGACAGACTCAGCAAGAATGATTTAGGTAAAATCACAGAAATTCTGGGCTAGCCTGTAAGGTGTAGCTGTCAGGACAGTCCAACAAGGAGAGGAATACTAAGCAAACCACATGGTTGGGACCACTGACGCTACTGAAGAGCTTTCCTGTCTGAGTTGCATCGGCACCAATCTGCAGGGAAGTGGAGAAAGCAGGAGCAGTGGAGACAGGCAGGAACCAAGGGTCTGCCCTCCCATTTCATGTCAAAAGGCAGCCTGTATACATGCTATGTGAATATCTAATGGGTTAAAGCATTCATGGAGAATGATTGGCAACTCTAAAATAGTGAATCTTGGATTGATATATTGAAACTACTTCACAATTTCTAATTATAATATTTTTGAAAAGTGATAGATATTATAATGTTTCTCATTCATAGATTTATATAATCAGAAGATAGAGCAAGATTGCGCAAGGTCATACAGAAAGTCTGTGTCTATGCATTAGAAAGCACCTCAGATGTTTGAAATTTATCAGGAAAAATATGATAGCTTTTCATTAAATATAGATGGCTGAGCAAATGGAGACATTATCAGAATATTAAAAAGTATGGATATATGTTTGTTATGAAATATATTAGTAAGTGCATTCAGAGATTTGAATGATGACTTTGTGAGCCATGTTTAAATAATAAATATACATGAGGTTTCTGTAGTACTTTTTAATGACATGGGTTATCAAAATGAAGTTTAGAAGATAGCTTGACTAAGCAGAAATGTGCTGACAAGCTTGAGCAGTTAGTAAAGTTGTAGGAAATTTGGGGAGAAGGTTTTGATGGTTTTGATGGGCACCTGTCAAAAAATGAGAATATTAAGGTCAACAAATTGAGATTTTGTTGCCAAAAGAAAATGAAAAAACTATCACAGTGGTAGCTACTGTTTAATTTCTACACTTAGAAAAGTGGGTCATAGAATGTAGAAGAAGGCCCAGTTTTTATATATCTTTTGATGGTTATTTATTATATTTTATACTTAGTTTTATCACAATAGTGTATTATTCTATCTGTATATATATTTAATAAATATATATATAATATGCAGATCTATAAATATACAAATATATATTTAATCCTAAGGGTTTCAGCTGTAAAGAATAGTTTGTAGAGATTACTTGGGAATTTGAAGCTATATTTTATAAACTCATCTATCATTTAAGTTACTTACAATAGCATACATTTCTTTTATTTGGAATAAAAAAATGTTTCCATGTTTTAAAGGATCTTCAGTATATCTTTGTTTTGTAGAAACAAAATTTACCTCTGTGTGTGGTTTTTCTTTATTCTGGTGACTCATTCTTTCCTAAGACTGACACTGGTACAGAGTAAGCAATCAACTTCATGAAAGACAGGGGGGAGGAGCCCTTGTTCTTTCAATAATGCTGTTTTAAAAAATGAAATTATCCAAAATCAATTATGTTGTTATATGTTATTACATTACATTGATGACTCATATTTTCATTAATTGATTCAAGATTTTTCCAGTAATTCAAATGATAAAGAAAAAATAAGTTAAAAGCAATAGTGTATAGAACTGATCTAAGATTCTCAGATCTTTTTGTTATAATTATTAAGCCTCCGAGAAACAGACTTCTTAGAAAATACAACACCGATATAAAAGAGCAAATAAAAATAATTCCAAAGAAAGAAGTGGCTAAAAACAGATAGTTCATTTTCTTCATTAAAAAGGTTTAAATATACAAATTTTCTAGAAGAAAACAGTTTAACCTGTTACATGGATTTCTATGGGATGCCCTATAGTAAATCCTATCGGCAAAGTAAAAGCTTTCTGAGAAATCTTGTTCTTACTTGAAAACACAACTGATTTAAATAAAATAAAACCATTTGTTTGCAGTGGAACTTCTCATTGTTTAGTGAGTGAATATACAAATTTCTGTGCTCAAGAGAAGGATAATAAATAATATTCTGAAAATTAATGCATAAGAGGAATATTCTTATTTTCTCCAAATCATTTTGTAGGACTAGTTTTCTGAGGTATGTATTTTAGGAATCACGAAAGCCGCATTTCCATTCGGTTGGACTAGCTCTTAGGCTCTGGCCTCTTCCCACATTGAGAGTCTGTCTTACCTCAGGGAGAACAAAATATGTCTACCTTGCCATATATGAGTAAATTTCACTCTCTAAAGATGTTTCGCTTGAATTTATTGAAGAATGTGTTCTTCAATTTCAAATATCCTGGGACAGTTAACATAGTTAGCATTCACAGTATGCTTATCCAGAATGTTTATGAACTTAGAACTAGTGAATCCTCCACTATATACTATTAAATTTTTTCCCAATTAAAAAAATATTAATCTACTCTTTTACATCACTACTAATTTTTAGACAGGATTTGATTTCTCCCCTCAGGGCTAGTCCCTGAATTTCTCCCACCACCACAGCACCCTTGTTTCATCTCCACAACCCCTTGTGCTCTTACCTCCCCAGTCTGACCCCTCCACTGCTCGATGCCTCAGATCCGTGGTCAGCTTGCAAGTTGTGTCTTTCTGCTGATCGTTTATTCAGTCCCCCTGTATTCCACCATAAGTGAAACCATCCAATATTTATCTGTTTCCTTTTAATTTATTTTGGTTAGCATAATCTCTTCCAACTTCATCCATGTTGCCACAAATGACATGAGTTTATCTTTCGTGACTACTGAGTAGTAGTCTATTGTCTAACTATATCATATCTTCTTGATCCATTCATCTGTTTGGGGGCATTTAGGTTGTTTATCTTGGCTATTTTAAATAAAATTGTACCAAAATAGGGAATTTGGGACCAAGACAGGTCTGGGAGAAGTAAGTGAGAACTAGAGTACTCGGAACCCTAAGAACAGAGGATAGAAGCAGAAACACCAAGAAGCAGTGAACCCGTCACAGTTCTGGAAGCAAATGCAATGAAGAGATAGTTCAGTGAGTTCAGTGAGAGGCTATTTACAAATGTGCAGGTAGAGCTAATGGGACTAAAAGGAATGGTGAAGCACTTCACTCTTCGGTAAACTACATAGGACCCCTATCACCTCCAGGTGGGAAAGTATTGGAGATACATCAATGGCTGAAAACTTGTGAAATATGTACTTTAATAAGAAAGGGCTGAATGACAGCAGTTATGGCTTTCACAAAGCAAAACCACACAACCATTAAACATTAACAGCTATGACCAGGGAAGGAAGGTGCGATCTAAACATTTAGATAGGTTTATTCTTAGAAAATGGTCTTCTGATCTTAATTGCCCTTATCCCTTTCTCCTTCCATTTTTGTGGTTTGGCGGTGACTGGCATGAAAATAGCAACAACACCCAACACTTTAAAACCAGAGGTGGCAGATTTGATTTGGGGGTAGAGAGAGAGTGAGTAAGAAGGGTAAATGCAAAAACCCCATACATGATTAACTAACAATGGCACCTTCATTTCTTAATAATTAGGGGACTAACAAATCACACTTTTATTTAAAGGTCCAAAGTTGCTGCCCGGGTTTAGGACAAATGATATACCAGCTGCAGACATAGTGATGAGGACCATAACAGGACTGAGATAAGCTCCTCATCCTTCCTGCTGACTGCTAACATACACATGATGTCAGGGTTCCAGGTGCCTAGGGAAAAGTAAAAACAAGTAAATGCCAACATAGACTTGAACACTGACAGCAACTCTCAAAAGTGATTTTATTAACTGAAGGTGAAATAGACCTCAAGACTAAGAATATTACTAGAGGTGATTTTATTGGTAATATTTCATAATGATAAAAAGATCAACTCAACAGTAATATATAATTATAAACCTACGTGCTCATAACAGCAGAGCTCCAAAACAAATGAAAAAGAAATTGACAAAATTTAAGGAAAGTTAGAAAATGCAACATACTGTACTCTCTGATTTCAGTCATTGAGAGAAGTAAAGAGAAAACCCACAAGGCCATAGAAGCTCTGAGCAACACTTAACCAAAAAATATCTAATATTTAAAGAATATCCTATGTATAGTAATGGCAAAATACACATCATTTTAAAGCATGCACAGAACAATTATCAGAATAGACGATATGCTATTCCAAGTGTCAAAAACTTTTTTTGTAAAGATTTATTTATTTATGCATACAGAGCTGGGGTACAGGACAGAGGTGCAGGGGTGGTGAGAGAATTCACCAGAGACAGAGTGGGAAGCAGAACAGGCCAACTGATGAAGTACACTGCTGAGGGAGCAGCGGGTGAGTCAAGAGAGGTCTGCCGCGCCATATGGATCACCTCCAAGGCAGGCTTGAACTCATGCTGAAGTATCTTTAGCTTCTTAGTGCTTTGCTTTAACCCACTGCACTGCCAGGGAGGGCCCCAAGTCTCAACAACTTTTAAAGGATTTAAATAATGCAAAGTACTTTTTGTTAAATTAGAAATCAACAAAGGAAGATTTCAGGAAGTCTCTAAATATATGGAAAATAAATGACAGATTTCTAAATAACTGAAGGTCAAAGAAGAACTCAAAACTGAATGAAAAAAGACAAAAGCATATGGGATATAGCTCACACAATGCTTAGAAAGAAATACAGGGAATAAAGTGCTTACACAATTAGGGACAAAAATATCTAAATCAATAATCTTATCTTTTACCTTGATAAGCAAGAAGAAGTAGAACTTAGAATAGAAAGAAGAAAATAGTAGAAACATGAAAACAATAGAAAGTATCAATGGAACCACAAGCTGGTTCTTTGTAAAGACCAAAAGAATTGATCTATATTCTATACAATCAACATTTACACAAAATGGATAAATTCCTAGAAAGACACAAATTACCAAAACTGACTCTGGAAATAATAGAAAGCCTCAGTAGACATATGTAAAAGAAGGGAATTAAACTAGTAATTAAAAATAGGTGAAGAGGAAGGTTGTAGAAAGTTTGTAAAAGTCTACATCATTTGAATCAGTCTACTATGAGAAAGTACCATTGAATTATTTGTGTATCTATAAAAATGTCTGTTTTTGCTAACTGTTGTTTTAGAGTGCGATTTAACAAACTCTTAAGGCTAACGTTAGGTTTCACCTATCACCAACTTTATTTAGACTAAAGTACACAACAGGAAATAACTCAGAACACAATCACATAGCCCTGGTCTTGTGCGTCCCAGGCAGCCTGCAGTGTCTCTACCATGTTGCTCATACAATATATGCGTGGAGATGAGAAATGAAGCTGAAAATATGCAGCTATTGCCACTCACAGCACCATCAGCTCTGGCATCCTCTTAGGCTTTTCTGCCTAGTCAGTCACGCTGCTCCATCGAGTGTACACAGCTGGTCCCAAACTTTTCAGCAGAAGATGTGTCTTCAAAGTACCAGCTATTTATTCAAAAGGAGGGATGGTCTGGTTCAGGACATAATCCTTCACCTGATCTCTTTTAATATGGATCTGTTCTACTTAAATTCCTAAAACTTCTTTCAGTTACTATTGCAAGGAAGATTGAACATGGATCAAATCCTCAGACTTTCTGAGACTAAAGGAAATACCAGAGAAATATCTCTTTTAAATGTCTTAGCCATAGACACTCTCAGGGAAGGAGAAGGGAGGGGGGAGGGGTCCAAGGAGAGGAGGGAAGAGCACAAGGGACTGTGGTGATGGTGCATTGGTGAATTGATGGTGGAAATTATATGGGGAGTACATCTGAGAGGAAAAATCAAATATTCTACAAAAATGAGCAATGATGCAAGAAAATATATACATTCAATTATTTTTAAAAAGTATGGACAAATAGCACTCAAAGACATGTATTAAGATTTTAAGTGATTTTTTTTTCATTCTTATTTCAACTTTCATTTGCTTTTGTGATGTTGCAATGAACTATCAGTTTCCTATACAGAAAAATAAAGCTACTTCAAATATATGCATATGTTTATAAACAAAATCAAGTGTTTTGCTCAATTGGGGAAATGAACAGTTGGGACAGATGGCAAATATTTTCATACTTTCCAAAGCTGAAATGACAATTCCTTTGACATGTGGCAGTCTTCAAAATTACATTTCTATTTTAATAAACTCTAATCTGTTTAATTGCTTCAAAATTCCAAGTAAATGATGAAACCAAAATTGAGAAACTTAAATGTTTCGAATATATCAAATTTTTCAGTTCTAATCTTAAAGCAGGCTGGGTTCTCTAAGAAGGAGGCTGAGAAGGACATTAAATGAAGCAGGTTTCCTGGGAGAGTGTTGGAATCAAGTGCATCTATGGAGGACAAAAAGCAGGATCAGGCCGAGGGAAATTCAACTGCAATGCTGTCTCAGCCCGTTTCAGCCAGCACTCAGTCCTGGTCCTGATGACGAGGTGACCCTTCAGAACTACCCAGCAGCAAGGGATGGGAGGAGTGGAGTAAAGGGACAGGGCGAGGTCTTTGCAGATCTTAGCTGAAGAGGGCCCCTGAAACATGACCTTGATAAGGTGACTCTTCCCCTGAGGCATTGCTGGAGGGAGCGCTTAGCTTGAGTTCTGTCTTTGTTTAAACTGCAGGCAGCTGGGTAATCAGTCCTTTATTTTTGAAAGGGGATCTAAGTAGAACATTAGTGATCTTCACAACTTGAAAATGATGAGTGAGTTAAACTGAGTCTGTCCTGTAACAGAGTTTGTATAGCAGACTCTGTTAATTGTCTAACCAAGATCCATGTTAACACACCAGGTCTTCTCTTGGGCTGTGTTTGAAGCAATGTTGTTCCCGGCCGGGTGTCTACACCTTGTGTCTACACCCATTGTGAGATCCTTGTTCTCTGCTTGTGGCTGCCCTCCCACCCTCTACAGCAGTTAGATGTAAACAAAGGACCTGATGATAAGATAACGAGACCAAAGACCCGAAAAATATTTCATTTTCCTTGTTAAAAAGAATCGAAGCTGTCACCACCTTATCTCTCCTAGACCCCATTGCCTTTTTTTGTACACAGTTGTGATACTTTAAGTTGCAGAAGTTATCTTGTAACTAAGAGGAAAAGGTCCAGAGAATATTTGTGGTTTTGTTTTTTTTTTTTTTTTTCCTGACATGCAGGAACCTCTGAATATAGCCACAAACCAGGTTTCTCACTTTTTAATGAAAATAACCCCTCATTGCTTAAGTAGATAAAAATGGGTATTTTGTCACTGATAGCAAAGCATAATCCAAACTGTGTCCGTTTATAAGATAGGACGATAGCTCATTGAACGTGTTAAAATATGGCTTTCTTTTTTTTGTTGTTCTCAAATGATTTCATTTGTGTTTATTTTATTGCAGTACATTGGTTTACAGCACTGCGTGTGATTGAGTTATAGAATATATGTTACACCACCACACATCTAATAATTATGGGTGTATTTTCACAAGTGTGAAAACACCAAATATTGTGTCTTTTTTTTTCCTGGGATTTCCTCTGTATATTAGCATGAATGTTACTAATTATTAGCACTGTAGCATTCTACCATAAATAAACCCTCTTCAACAAAGTTTATGCTTCTTAATATTTAATATTCTTATACTTAATCCAAAAATGCCTTTTCAAACTACCTACTAACACGG